GCCGATTCCGCCACAGCGCAACTAACGGCGGGTCTGAAACCTTCAAGAAACAGAGAAAACCACGTCTTTTTCACGCATTCCACCCTCTGAGAGCGCCCGACAAGGCCGATTCCGCCGCGACTAACGGCAGGTCTGAAACCCTCGAGAAACAGAGAAAACCACGTCTTTTTCACGCATTCCACCCTCCAAGAGCGCCAGACAAGGCCGACTCCGCCACAGCGCAACTAACGCCGCGTCTGACACCCTCAAGAAACAGAGAAAACCACATCTTTTTCACGAAAACCACGTCTTTTTCACGCACTCCAGCCTCCGAAAGCGCCATAAACAAAAGAAAACCTCTAGAAACTAAGAACTCCAAAGAAAGAAACCCACTTCGTTCTCACGACCCCAAAGCCACTCGAAAGAAAGAAATCCACTTCGTTCTCACGGCCCCAAAGCCCCCAGACGGCCGATTCCGCCACAGCGGAAGCAAGCCAGGTTCCCTTGCGCGCTCCCCCTTACTTCGGCCGGGGTCGGCGGATATATGTTTGTGTCTGTATGCTTCTATATGTAGCTGTAAAAATCTAGATTCCTGTCTCCAGCTTAGCACAACTTACCGCAAGAAGGGAAGGCACTGAAGGCTGACCTTCTCCGCTGCGCAGTTCCTGCAAGCACTTCTTAAAGCATGTCCACAGGGCGCAATATTGAGTCAGGTCCACACGCTCATATTCAGCATCGGACCCCTTCCAGTCATTCTTCTCACAGGACTGGGCCACGGAAAGAGTTCCGGAATAAGGTGTTCTCAGAGGTTTCATGGCTATAATCGCAAACTACTGCAGTTCTCTGAAGAGGTGGTTGGCAGCTTGGCTGTCATGGCAGGACATGTGGAGCTACTTTTCTGATGGCCCTGCACGAGGGGTGCCCAAGAGCTTGTTGCCATCAATGTGGCAGCACGCGTAATTTTTCTACATGCTTGACAGGCTGTGTCCCAAGTCTTTGTTGCCCTGTATTTTCTCAGGCTGGTGAATTATGCAACGGCGTGAAAGGCGCTGACTGTGTGTAGGCAGGAACAAACTGCAACAGCCAGCCAGCACTCTGTCTCTCATTCACTTTCAAAGCAGACGGAGGAGATGACAACAGGGAGGTGCTGTAAGGCCTCTTTTAAAACCTGCCTCTTTTGGATCTCGGTTTTCTCCTTCTATTTTGAGGCCTGTGAGGCTCTGTGAGGCTTGGGATTGTCGGTTTGCGATTGGCCAGGCACGGCTCTGAGATTTAGACAGCTTACAAGCTGAGGAGTTTTTTGGCGCAGAGGGAAGGCCATGTCTTTGAAAGACCATGGAGGTCCTTCGCAGGTTTCAGCAGGTTTCAGCGGTTGGGTGTTGATGATCCCTCTGCGTGTAATTCGACCATAAGTTGGCTTGCACTGAACTTGGACTTGGACTTGTGCACGTTGCCGTTCGAATGGCGGCAGCAGTCGCTTTGCATTCGAGAGAATGGCAGGTATAAGTTATCATTACAGAAATTGCAGTACATAGCATGTAGACTTTTTAACTTGTATAGATATAAATATAGAGCCTAGAGATTCGGAGGGCCTTTGTCCCCGGAGAGTTAGCGGCTGCTTGGCTGCGCGGCAGTAGAATATGCTTTCACCAAATGATCTCCAAGCCTGAAATTCGGCATGTGCCGGTCTGATACTGGCCCATTGGCAATTTCGCGGTTGCTAGAGTTTGAGAGGAAATCCGTTGTTTGTTCGAAGGAATGCGTCGTTGCCACCACCTTAGATCCTGCGCTTCGTCTGGCGGAGTGCGGAAAAGGAGCGAAGTTCAGTTCATCAGCCTCGTGGTGATCTCGAATGACTGGAGGTTGGAGAGGTTTGCAGATTGCTGGTTCCTTTCCAGGCCGAGGCCACCCCTGCCAGGTGCCGGCGGCGCACCGAGGCTCGTCAAATTACGTGGCAAACCCGGTGGTTTTTGATGTTTTTTTTTTTTTTTTTTGTATTTTTTAAACAATTCAATCAGAAACCTTCTGGGAAAACTGTTTGGATACAATGTTGAGATATAAATTAATGCAGTTGATCATCGTTGCCTTGTTTTTGCACAAGACGGGGGCAGTGAAGGCCAAGTGTTAGATCCTGTAGTGCGTCATTTCTATTGGGTGCGGAAGCTCTTTGCATGGCGTGGTTGCGCACAGAACTAACTAGCCGCTAGCCTCAGTTGTCCAAGCTAGGCTGACGAGCCGCGCGGGCACCTAGTGAAATCATATTAATGAAAACAAGATACAGTCAGGTTCTCATTGACTTTTGTCTCTGAAAAGGGGTATGCAGTATCATGCGCAAGAACCCGCATTAATTATTCAGGGCAATGCACCTGAATAGTCCAGGCATCAAGCCGGCAGAGCCACGTGACCTTCTCGGGTGTTTGGCTGTGTCATTGGAGTTGCCGTGCAGGTCGATCGTTGACTCATCTCATAACACAGGTGAGTGGCAACACTTTGTGCAGATTTTTTGGCACACTTTGTGCTGAGCATTTGAAACTGCATCCCCGACTTTCCTTGAGTTGCTACATCTCTTTGGCATGAGGCCGGTGCCATTCCATGTGCCAGACAGCAAGGCTCCTCATTCCAATTCACCGGCATTTGATATTAAGATGACCCCTTTCCAAGTCCCCAGAGGGGGCAGAAGCCAGGCCGTGACCACAGAGCCTTTGTCTCCCAAAAAGGAGGCCGGGGAAGCTTCAGGCGATGCAAAGCCCTGCAAAGTAGCCTCTCCAATCCGTAGGCACAGATTCGAACTGCTGGTGTAGAGTTCGAGCGTGTGCCTCAGTGGCGATGCCAGGCGGTGCCAATGATTGTTTGGTAACCGTAGCCGAGTCACGCAATAGTGCAAGTGCACAAGTCAATTTTTTTGCCTCAGACACGTATTGGTGAGGCTGGCATATTCGGAGGATTGGGTAGATGTATTTGATAAGAAGTTGGAGCAGGCACAGAGACGGAACTGGGTGTTTCAGAGAGCTACTGAACTCGTTGCTCAGAGAGCTACACCCGGTTGACAAATTGGCTGTGTGTGGCAGAGGCCCTCTGCGAAATTGAGGAAGCCAGCATACCTCAGGCCTGCTGCACGGGCTGCACTTGTTTTGTGTAAGATATTGTGCCACAGTCACCACAAACATGGCAGGAGGAGCTAGTTGCATTCAGCTTAACCATCATGGACGCTTTTGGCAGTTTGCCCAGCGCAGTGAAATCGGATGGATTTGGCATTCAGTCCGAGGGGGCCGATTGGAATTGCGGAAGCTCTTGGCTTGTCCAGTGTCCACGAGCCTAGGCTCCACGCTGGTTTGCCTGGACAGCAGGGAGCTGGAAACCTCCGGGCTTCCAACGTGGGGGAACAAAAGCAGTAAACGGACTTGCTGAAGTGTAGTTGAGTTAGCAAAGACCAATCACCAATCAAATCCAATCACCAATCTTCGGAAGAGTCGACCAATCCCTGGAACCTTGGATGGCCAACGCATGATTGCAGATCCACCACACATCCAGTCCAGGTTTTGTGTTGCGCCGAGGCGAGGCCTTTTCTCCGGAAGCCAGCCAGGGGTGTGCGGAGCTTAAGCACTTTGCGGCTGAAGTTGCTGCCATGGACATTGTGGGCCAATGGATTTGCATGGATTTGCTGTTGGGTTTGTTTTCATGTCACGTCAGCGAATCCAACAGAGTTTGAGCCTGGCTGAGCATTGGCTCAGGTCCGCACACTTCCCACTGAAGGTCCGTTTGGGGCCATCGAGCTCTGGCATCGGCGGAGGTGCAAATAGTGTCCATGGCAAGGGGCCAAAGGCCGAGCTGCCAATCAGTCCGGGACCTGGACGATGCATGAAGGATCGCGAAGAAAGAACTGTAGGCTGGAAGTCTGGGGGAACTGCTTCATTCTCGTATAACATGAGAAGTCGCGAATCCTACGGTTGCCCAAACCTGTTCAAGAAAGCCAACACAGGCCAATGCAGGTACTCCGCGGAAAAACAACATAGACCAGAACTCAATTTCAAGTGCGCTTTAACATGGACCACTGGAAACGGTGACTTCCTGGGGAAACGGTATTAGCGCTGTTTTTGGCAATTTCTGGACCCTCACTAACATGGACCGTTCCCACTCTCAGTCTACATGATCGATTTTGACACTAACATGGACCAACTGCAAATCTGACTATATATAAACTGAACGCAGGCTAACATAGACCGCGCCTTAGAGGTCAGCATAGCCCGGTGGAGGCGGCTAACATGGACCATGCCAAGTACCCGTAGGGCCCACCATGGCACATCTGAATTTAGTCTAGGTTAGTCTCAACGGTGTCCGCTCGGAAACTAGACTAACATATGCCCCCCCCAATTTTGTTTTGGCGAAAATGTTAGTTTTCACCGGTGTAATTGAATGTGATTGAGCACAAAGGCAATGCATTGTCGTGCTGCATTGGGTTCTGTCCAGACCATTCACCGGAGCTTTGCCGCAACATCTATGTAAACCTTTGGAATACATCTAATAGAGAGAGAGCTTTTGTATATCAATACCTTCGAATACCCTTTCCTGAACAGCCTTTTGAGTCTGGACTTGACTAGAATTTGAAACGATTTGCTTGTGTTTTTCGAGCTCCTCTTACCCTTCCAAGGCCCAGCGAGTCTTCTCGAACAGTCCTGAGCCTGGCCGAAGCTGTGCCAGTTGGAACTGAGCCTGGTTTGTTCCCTACCCACACTAAATGAATACTGTTAGTAAAAGATGGACATAACAAAGTTTCCAGATGGATCATTTTGCACATGACGGCGTGGTAGTGGTAGCAGTTTGGCTGCGGTTTTCAGGTGAGACCTGACCGAACTTAAAAGAGGATTCTGCTTCATTTTTCCCTGGTCTTGGTTGAAGACGGTCACTGCAGGTTTCGCAGAAACCTGTGTCGCAAACCCTTGCGACTGGGCGGCCGGGCAACCCAGCTGCCTGCCGCTACTAGTACAAGAAAAGCAGAATCAAAGCGTGCCCCCCCACACCCCCGAATGTTTCCTGCCAGTGCATGCCTAATTTTTCTACGCACTGATTGATCCGATTGCTATGTGAAAAGGCCTTCCAAATTTCCCTGCTGCTGTCATTCGCTGTCTGGCAGCTATATAGACTTTCCACTTTTTGACGAGCCGTAACATTGAATCGTCCTGGAGATTATTGGCCAGGACCTGTGAGCCTTGCCAGAATTGAAGAGCTCTGCGGCTCCCTCAGGATATCACATGAGCTGCGGAGATCTCAACGCATCCCTTATTTCAAGGTGAATTACTTGAAATTGGAGAGGGGAGCCCCTCACAGGCGACACTGCTGTCTTGCTTTTTGGGCCATTCTTGGAAGTGAGCATAGCGGCCATGAACAAAAACATTGAACATCATTGAACAACTTTGTTGAGAGAACGTGAGCTGGCCTGGCGAGGGGATTGACGGTGGCTTCTCCGTGAATTTTGTACCGGTGGTCCTTCAGGCGGTTTGATGGGTGACACATGATGAACATGCAATCCGCCAAAGGCCAAAGGCGAGCGAGACCTTGAGGACCGGCAGTCATTACATAATCAGGAAAAAAGCGGGTGCATTGTTTCCTTTGGGCATGAAACGTCGATGGTATCGACCAAGAACACAGTCGCTTAAAGACGATGTTTGTGAAGCTAGGCCGCCCTGTAAGCTAGGCCGGAACTCCTTCCCGGTAAGGGGCACCGACCCTTCGGACCAGCCAGTGCCTCAATTTGGTGCCATACAGTGACTACAACATGCCGAACGGGGAATGCTGGTGGAATTGGTGTTGAATTGAAAGAGGTGGTTTTCATATGTTTTCATGTGGATCTTCAAGATGATTCAGTTTGGGTTGAGGTCCAAAACTCGACCTCGGCGCTGGATTCCAGCAGCCCATGCTGGTCATCATCACGCGGTACATGACCAGTGAACCTTCAAAAAAAAGTCTTTTTGTTTGCCCTCCCGCGTAAGTTAGCAGACGTCGCTAAAGGACGTGCTGCCTTGCGCCAAGCTGGATGTTGTCTTGTCGGCCGATAGTGGTAGGCGGCTCAAGCTGACTCAAGGGCCAGTCGAAAAGAATGTCGAACCATGATCTTTGGCAAGAGGCCTTCCATCGGCAATGATCTTGCTAAATGGTCAGCTTGGCAACCTGACATGAAACGGCAGCTTCTGCTCACTTCCCTCTAGCTGTGGGAAGGGCAGCAAGAGTAGTTTCCAGAGTTGTAGAACACATCATACAAACACAATTCTATTACTGTACATTTGTGCTCTCATCGTGATTTGCTCGCCCACAGGTTGAGGGTGGTGTTGGCACAGATGGCAGAACGCTTGCAAAAACTATAAAAAGACGTTTTGAATTGTTTCGGGTAAGTGGGTCTACCTGTCTTGAACATCCGACCATAGCCGTAAAGCTTGCTTCTAGCTAAACGGGTCGCATCATTCGGACCAGCACAATTCAGAAGTTCAGTTTCTTTCCTTTGAGAAGCGGTGGATGGTTGGCTACTCACGACAGGTCTATAAATATTATCGCAGCTCAACTGGGCTGAAAAAAACCGCGCGACAGGGCGCATTTGGGGACCCTGGATCATTGGAACTTGTTGGGGCTGGCATTGAGCATCTCAATTGCCAGCGGCAAGTGGAGCATCCCTCGCTACCTGTGATGTAGTACTTTTGAAGAAGCGATCAATCAGCTTGCACAACCAACAGAAAAACAAGGGAAGAAAGGAATGACAAAGACAGGCGTCAAGTATATTGGCTTACTGTAAGTTTCCCTGAAAACCTAGGAAACAAATCATGAGACGCGTGAGCTATCCTGCGCCCTGGCTAGTAGTAGCTTAAGTAGCTAGTAGCGACGGAACTTCTACTAGCTACCTACTGTAGTCTCTACAGCCTACCCACCCCCGCGGCCCCGGGACTTTCTTCAACAAAAAAGCGAGAAATCAGCTTGCATCGCACAACTAAAATGCTTGTACGATCAGAAAATTAACTCGTCAGTTTGCATGTTTCTTTGGGGTAGGCGAGGGTCACCTAATATGGGTTGATGCCGAATTAGAACGCCATGCGCCAAAATGCTGGACAAATTATCAAGGCGACCAGCAGGTGATACGGTGCCAGGAATTTGAATCAGACCATCAAGGAACAGGTCAAGCTACGTGAATCTCTCCCGGTGTTAGAGGTGCATGGCAAGCTGGGTCCCGTGAAGGCATCCGAGAGCTGTAAATTGGCAGCACTAGAGGCAAGATGGTAAAAAGAAACACGAAAGGTCAGGTGGGACAAGGATAGGATGCATGTCATGTGCCCAAGGGAAGTTGAAAGAGAGAGCGAGAGAGAGGGAGATAGATAGATAGCTAGATAGAGAATATGTGAGAGTCTTGATTGTTTTGATCGAGTAGTTGAGGACACAGACGATTCCAATCAATTCTATCCCACCTGGCTTCGTCATGGAACAGTGCCACGTGGTGGCTGTGCCATCGCCTTTTGGAGTCGTCATGGACTTACGAGCTTCGGCGTAGAGGTTCTGTCTAGAATGCTCCTTCTTTTTCGGTACAGCGCGTGCCTTTGCAATGGCAACTCCGAATGGAATTACCGGAATCAAACTTTGCTTGCTCATGGTTGGTAGGACTTCCTAGCATTGGTGGTTTGAAGAGCATGCCATTGAAGACTTGGTATGATTGTTATGAGTTCGAGTTGCCACTTCGGACATGATGTGTCAGTACTTGTTTATCTCATTGGAGCACCTCTCAATTACAGGTGTTTTTGACAGTCGGTCTGGATCACCACTCTGGTGGTTGTGTGCAGCGCATTGGGGTTCTTTCTTGGGCCCGACCTCAAGAGTAACATTTTTGCTGTTGGTGAACGGTGATTCAGAGCGAGTCCAGTTTCACCTGTGCCGACTGGTTAGTTTCCCCTGGTTTGGCAGCCTCATCAGCCTCTCAGACGTTGGACATCAAAAAATAAAATTGTCATCCTCAGGCCAGTCGGGACTCGTTTCACAATTTTTTCCGCCATCCTTGCGATTCCATGAGGTGGCCAGGATTTGGGGTCAACGACGAGCAATAATCCATGGATGGTGGCAAACATTCTTGATGTCAGCATTCGGATCACTGGATGAAATGGTTTACCTTCTTGGCCAACCATGGCGACCTCATGCTGAAAGACAAGGAATTGGCCAATTCAGCACGTTTGACCTGAAATACCCTATATTTCTGTATGTGTGCAACCTTTAACACCGTTGTCATTGCAGATTCTTGGTTGTCTCTCCGGTATGTGCGCAAGAATAACCAACAACACCTCAACTGTTGGAAACTATGTCTTGACCTGTTTGCAATGACGCTTCTTGCCCCAGCTGTGAGCTTGGGATTTGCTACCCGCAAAGACTCAGCGGGTCACATCTGGTTTAGGCAGAGGAGCCGCGCAGTCTGTGATTCTAGACGTAGCGATTGGAGCGTTTCACCTCCAAGGTCGATATGGGGTGACCTTGGAAACTACCAGGTCAGCGGCTTGTGAAATTCCAGACTTTGTTCTGCACATCGTAAGGAGCGCAAAAGAATCTGCCATCTGCCTCTTGAGCGTTCTCTTGGTCGCACTGTCCCCTACTTTGCGTGCGCGCACATGCGCATCAGCGTTGTCAAGCGAGACTTGGCGAAGCCGTGCAGGCTCTGACTTTGCAAGACAGTTCTTAAGCTTCGAGATTGGGGAACCTAGTGCAGTCACAAAAGGAAGAGATTCATGCGGAGCCATCTCAGACGATGTCACCGCAGTAGTAACTTTATCCAATCAAATCCAAGATATCCAAAGTTCCAGCTCGAGAAACAGCCTCGTACAACAATTGCTTATATACATATATAATATACTTATTTTCTATTATATATATTTAATTAAGTATGCAGGGGAGTTGGGAGTTTTTACTTTTGACGATACGGTAACGGGAGCACCAGGTCTGCAAAACACTGAATTTGTGCTTGCATGCGCATTATGGCGTCATGCGTGTGCCTTGGCAGCTTTGTGATTTTCTTGCGACATGTTTCAAGTGCCATGGTTGAGAATTTGACAAGAAAAGTTGCACATGTGCCGATCTTTCTAGCCATTCTGCCACACCACTTGAACTTCTTGTGGTGATTCCTGCAAGACGAACTGCTGTAAGCGTTTTGTTATTCTACTCGCCTGAGTTGAGATTGTCCACGTCCCAATGCGTGGGTTGGAATGCTTCCACATGCTTGCAGATTGAAGAGTGACAGGTGCAGTTGAGATCGCCATGCACCCGGCAGAGGTTGCCCTGGAGGCATGGGTATGCGCCAAAACATCTCAACTCCTGTATGCCTGGACACATGCATATACATGTACAAGTTTTATAAGGGCATACTCCGCGTAGTTTCTTTTGGCGTAGTGCTTGTTTGGAATATGCTGGCAGGCTTGGGCTTTGTTGTCAGAGAGCCCACTTGCAGCGCTGCTCACTCAACTGACCCGCTCACTAGGTCCCTAGGTGGCGCTGCATTTGTTCAATACTCAATCTTGCATGGACTTTGCCTCCCAGCCGGGGCACACCTGGTTCAAACAAAGGTTTATTCTTGGCTCGTGCCTTGTTCAGGGTGAGGGTAGGGATACCGCATGACCCTGGCCCTCCAAGGCCACACAGAGAGTTCACAGCAAGGCAGGAAAAGAGTTAACATGAGTCAAGCACACCTTTCAGGATAGGGCCAGGGCTATATATTATAGGGGCGCTTTGAATCACGCGTCCTATTGTGGGCCAAAAGTTCAGTTTGGCACCCCTTTTTTGAGCTCTCAGAATGATGTTGATCATAAGTCGGCCCGCTTGCCAGCCTGCCAAATTTGCGGGGCGACCGGGTCCAGGACTGTGACACTGTTACTTGGTTTGGCTGGCTAGCTGGTTGGACTCCTGTGGCAGTTGGCTCAATTATTTCGCAGGAAACCTTGCGTGCGCTCAGCCTGGGGCTCAAGAGATTGTTCTTTTGGTAGAGTGGGTGCCCTTTGTTACTAGTAGCTTCTTGCTCCTAGTAGCGATGCCAGGAGCCCCTAGTAGCGTCCTTGCTCCCAGTAGTAAGGCCAGGAGCCCCTAGTAGCGTCCTTGCTCCTAGTAGTAAGGCCAGGAGCCCCTAGTGTGAAGAATTTGCACCTTTAGCCGTAGCAAGTAGCACGTGCTCCGTTGGACTATGACGGTCCTATTCACGTGCTTCGCAGAAACCATTGCGTCAGTGTGCCCCATTCTCCAAGACTGTGCAGGTGAGAGTTGTCCCCTGCTGGGCAAAGAGGCCAGAAGAAGAGAAATTGGATGTTTGGGTTGGTGGGTGCGGGCAGAAGGTTGATCAGAATTGTTCCAAGTCGTCTTAGTTGGGATTGGAAGTTGGCCCAGGGTTTGCTCCGTGAGGTTCTTAGAGCAGCGTTGGGTAGTTTTTGACAGGCATCGCTGCTGCCTTTGGAGAAGAGTTTGCATCGAAGTTGTCGTGAAGCAGGCCCTTGAATCAAGACTCAAGACCGACCCAATTGCAAGATGGTGTGTCACCTGGTGTGTGTAGACTTCACTTCCCTGCCTAGCGGAATCGCATACAGCACAGGAATCCGAGCCTAGCCATCGTGACTACACATATACATATATATACACACAGATATATATATATATACAGCTTCCTCTTTTCAGCATTGGCCTCCCTTTGGCTCTACGTTTCTTTGGAGTCGATCACTGGTTCCTTCATCTCCTCTTCAGGAGAAGTTCACTTCATCAGCTTTTGGCGAAGCCTTGGAGAGGTGCCAAACAAAGCAACGACAAAACACCTCTGCGGGGCCACGAGCACACTTCCTCAACAGTAGAACCGTGGAAAGCTTGTTCGATGGAAAAGAGCGCCTGACTTTGATTCGAAGGTCACTCTGGAGGAGGCATCTCAAGTTTGGAGCTCAGTGGCTCAGTGGCAAGTCGCCAGTGGATAAACATCAAGCTTCCTACATGAGCGGACCGACTGTAATTTGAACCGCTGGAATGAACCCTCCATGTGTTGGACATATTCTATCCCTTAAGAAGTATCTTTGCATTGTAAACAACATATTTCCAACCATACAATCACTACTAGCAAAAATCCTTCACTTATCCTATTTTATTATAGGATTCTTGCATTTCATTTGGTTCTGCACATAAATGGCATGAGTCTGAACATATCAGAGGCAACACGTGACAGCCCATTTGTGTTGTCTCATGAGTCTCGTTGTGGCTTTTAAACACATGTGGCTCTTGATCCATTAGTCAACTCGAACGACCTGGCTGGCCACAGTACATGATTTCTATCAGGTCTTGTCAGCATCAAGCTCCTGCAGGACTTTTAGTTCGTTTGGACCTTGGGCTGATTAGAGTGATTAGACTTGCCGACATGCGTAGTTTGCATTCAGGTTTTCGTGTTATTGAACATCCCGTGCAGTGTGAGGCCAACGGCGGCCAAGCGTGCCACGCCACCGGAGTGTTGGGTGGAATCCGACTTCCAGCGGTGTGAGGCCGCGGCGGGCCTGACTTTGCCAGGCTCCAAGTCGAACTTGAGAATGCTCATTGGTCATTCCTCCTAGTAGCGTCCTTGCTCCCAGTAGCGATGCCAGGAGCCCTAGTAGCGTCCTTGCTCCTAGTAGTACGGCCAGGAGCCCTTAGTAGCGTCCTTGTCATAACAAGAAATGCAGCGGACAAACAAGATGGGATGCATGGCCTAGCAGGCCTACAAGGACACTGGACACTTGTTGGTACCGGATGTGGGTACTATTGGCTTAGACTGGAAGAGCCGTTGGCGGCATTTTTGACTGACGTACGGAAATCAACTTTTCCAAGGCCCTTCGGGCCATTGGGGAGAGCTTCCTTGGAGGCTGCCCCAAGCCAGGCGATGCAGCAGGCAGCGATTTCCCACGCAAAGGTTTACATAGCATTTTTCTTGTGAGTTATATGCTAATAGCATCTAATAGCAATGGCCTCCAACTTACGTAGAAGCGATGGCTATGCACATTGTTTCGATGGTGATTGGGGCGACGGTCGTGGAAGGAGCCCTGTAAGATGCCTTTGACGCCAAGGCAGCTGGCTTCTTTTGACGCCAGGTTCGTTCTGAAGATTTGTCCTGCCATAGATTGTAGGGGTATATAGGCGTTTTGATCCTTCTCCCCCTGATCCCGTCTCCTGCGCATGGCTGTCATCTCTTGCCTGTAGACCTTTACGTTACAACGCTTGATGGGCTTGATGTTAAAACAAAAACGGGACCTATATAGGAGAAATGTATAGTAAGCAGTGGTCCCGTTTTAGCAAACCATGGCTGATTCATTGTAAAACGATATAGTTTTTTTTTATTTTATTGTTTATTTTTACGATAACACTCATGTAATACGTGCAATACAGTACATGAGAATAGAAGCATTGGACATTCAAATGCCTTCAGTTCTTGAAGCAAATAGCTGTCAAATCCAGTTGTTGATTTCAGGTGCATTTTTTTAAACAAGAGTGTTTCATGTCAAAGTTTTCGTGTAATACAAGCATTCAGGAGTGATTTCTTTTTTTTGCTCCTTGAGCATCGCTGGGACATGGGTAGACATTTGCTGATCCATGCTGATCCATATGGGCAAGTAGTTGCATGTACATGCATGGGTTCTAATTCAGTGGATGTTAGGCCGACAAGTCAACAGCACCCATGTGAATCATTCTTGAGAATATGTTGTAGTAAGTGTTTGAGTCCATTAGGCCACCAAAATGGGTGAAGCGTTGCGGGTTCCAAAACGATACGTAACAAAACGGTAACAAAAACGATAATGTCCCACATGTACAAATTCCAAATTTTAAGAAATGGCCTCAAGACTCTTCCAACATCAAGGAAAGCCCGGAACTAAAGGAATTAGACCAGGAAAAATAAACTAAGAAGAAAAAAATAACTACTTTTTTGCACCTTTTTCTCTCCCTGTCTCTCTGTGTCTATTCCCTTTACGGGGGGGAGATCAGCAGACACGGTGCACATCGGTGCACCACGGTTGGGTCTCGTCGCGGTGTCTCGGACTGCCCCGGAGACACAGGGGCGAAGGACCCGTTCGCCCCTTCGTGGCGGGATGAAGGGGTGAAGGGAATAGACACAGAGAGACAGGGAGAGAAAAAGGTGCAAAAAAGTAGTTAATTTTTTCTTCTTAGTTTATTTTTTCCTGGTCTAATTCCTTTAGTTCCGGGCTTTCCTTGATGTTTGGAGTCTGTTCCAAGGAAATTTTGAAAAATCATTTTTTCATTGAAATCATAAAAATTTGTACGCGCGCAAACACACATAGCAGACACCGACTTTTTTGCAGTGGAGGCGGGGACGTGTGTGGTTAGCTGGGCAACGACAAGAGACTGTATACTGATTTCCCAACATTGAAAAGCGAAAACGAGTTTAAAAAATCGAAAAGGCCACAAGTGGTCATACAATATGTATAGTTTTTTTCTTTTTTAAATATATCGCTTGGGGACGCTTGTCCTTTGTCCTTGCCATGTGTGAAGCTGCCAGGACTTGTCCGAGGACGGTGATTCAGGAGTTGGAAGATCTTCGTCCAATGACCCGGCAGAGAAAAGGATGAACAAAGTGTCCCAATGCTGCTATGAATTGGGAGCAGATGTCGAACAATCACACGGAAACCGTGTTCATATTCTAGCACACACACACAGAGGCTTTGCCGACCTCGAATTTCGCCCCCAGGTGATGTCATGATGGATCACTTCGAGGCCTGTGGCGGGCGACATGGTCCAAAAAATTCCAAAAAGACGCATACTGACAAGGAAGGTGTGCTTTTGAATTGGCCTGGGGGCGTAGCAGTTTCGTATGTGAGATGTGAGTTGAGCTAGCTATTGAGCTGGAGAGGGGTACACATCACATGTCATGGGGACTTAGGACACATACTTGTGTCAATCTAGACTGTTCGCATCCCCCTCTCACTCTATCCGTCTTCTGCGTCCTTTCGGAGCGCCATGGAGACTGATACAAAAGTACCGACAGAAGCTTCTGGAGGACGGACGCTTGTGAACTCCAGGCACTACGGATACGAGAATGAATAAACAGGCATTTCAATCGGTCACTAGCTCATTTTGCAGACACCGCACTCATCCTCCACTTCAAGGCATCCAAGGACGATAACGTTCCGATGACACTGTTCTGGGAAGCTGCCCGGAGCCGCAGTGCGATTAAGTTATCCGTGTAGCATAGGCCCAGGCGTAGCATAGGCCCGGCAGAGCAAAACAAATTGCTTTACTTCGAGTTTGCAAACAGTCTTGCCTCCAACAAGGTGTCCTGCCATCCTGCATTCCTTTTTGGTGTTGTCCTTTTCATTGAGCTTTTTGTTGCTCGTTGGTGTTGCCATTGTCGATTATATAATGTTTGCTGGGGCTGGCGGAATACACTTGCCAGAGATCGGATGGTAACAGATCTCTTACACGGTCAAACCCTTGCCTTCGTGTCCTAATTGGGCGACACCACAACTACTTGATTATATACATTGATATTTTGAGACCAGCTAAGGTAAGGTCCATCCAGAGTAGCTCTGACTCTCCTGAGCCTGGAGCCTTAGGATGAGTGGCTCTACCAAGCGTCTTTGGAATTGTTATATGGCTCGCGTATCCAATCATCAGAGCAGAACTTTGGTACCAATTACCAATGAATTTTTGCGACCTGGTTGGATCTTTGCCAGGATGGTGCTGCACGCTTGCTGAGTAGCAATTGGTTCGGTGGTTTTCCAATGTTCCAAGGTTCTGGCGCAAACTTTCAGCCCAGATGGGCCAAGCAGGCTCAGCTTGTGTTGCTTGTGCGTTGTGGCAGCTTTCGACTGGATGCTTCTTGCAGTAACCATCTGACTTATGAAGGTTGTTCCAGCCGGGTGATTCACAAGCTTGCACTCCACACTGCACTTGTTGCGGTTCCTCAAGTGTTCTCCATGTTCTCCCCTAGAAGGCCCCATCAAATCGCCACGAAGGTTTGAGTTTACCAGGAAGCAATGCAGCGTTTGCTTGGGTGAAAAGCCTTGTTGCAGTAGCAAAAAGGCTTTTGCATCACTTTCAGCCTCTTTGGAAGGAAGCGATCGGATCAGCATCTCAGAGATCACCACGGTGCTCCTACTGTGGCTTCGTCCAGACCCACAGCTACACTGGTCGTGAGGATTTGAGCCAGTCCCAGTCGGTCAGCTGTTCATGGCAAAAAAGGCACAGCAGGTAGCTGTTCTAGTTCAATTACGGGACACCGTTATGCCGTGGTCTCATCTAATGTAAACATCTATATATCAAGCTGGGGTTCAAATCTGACTCCATTCTTGAACCCTGTTTTGCTTCAGTAGGCCGAAGTAGATCTAAGTTGAAAAGAGGGTTGGTTGAGTTAGCCACCTTCATCCACCTTCCTTTTTTGATGGGGAGAGGTGCGTGGTTCGCTAGCTGAGCTAGCGAGGCGAAGCTGCTGCGAATGAGCTCCCCTACGACGAACTTGAGGCTTCAGGTGCGGGGCACGAAGCCAAGAAGCACAGTCCGGCCATGGGGTATACAAGCCCTTTTTGCATTGGGGCAGAAAGGACATGCATGCTTCAGCTCCACTTCAGCCCCAGACCTGCAGAAAGGCTAAATGGAGGAATGTCCTCCCACATCTCTTCAAGCTTGGAGTGGTATTTAGACTATCGCTGGTGATTAATGCTTGTCCTTTGCAGTTGCATGTTGAACTGTCGCATGCACCCCGCGCCTCGTGCTACAAGCTAGGGTTAGAAAAAGCATGTTTCACAGATGTATGGCCTGAAGGTGGCACACTTTTGATCGCGGTCCTTAGAAGTCCCTAGACCCTAGCCAAGTGAACCAAGAAGACGGATATTTTTTGGCTTGGAGCATGAACATCACTTCTAGGCTTGCCCATACTGCATCCACCTCAGAAAACCGTGCAAGAACATCACTTTCATAGAGACATTTTAAGTCACCTTGCTGACACCTGGTCGCGCCTTCGGGAAGCCGGAGGCAGGATACAACGTCAATGCAGTTTGTGTTATATAAGCAGCCCCGCCTCTACCTCCAAACCTTGCTGTAGGAGGTTGGCATGGTGGATGTCATACCCAAGAGCGATGATGCATGGCTGCAGGAAGGTCAGAGCTTGTGATATACAGTGAGGTAGTACGTGCAATGTCATGTTTCGGTCAATTTTAGGTGACAGGGAGGTGACCTGCACCTTTATCCCGGGCAGAGAAGCCCCACGTTCGGGGTTGAAGTGTTTCACCAGCTTACGCTGAGGCCAGAGTAGATCTTGGAGAGGCATTGTTGCTTGCCGTCAAGGACCGGCTTCCTGCAATGCACGACGCTGGACAAATGGAATGACCCTGGTGAATAGCCAACATCTTCTACCACGAATGAGCAGAGAGAACCGCTCATAGAGTAGCATAATGAGGACAGGTCCCAAAAGTGGTTTGGTTTTGCAGGAGCACCCTCCGCTTGTTGTGCTTTTTCTCTCGGGATGCTTGAGCAATGTCCTTTTTTTGGGGGGGGGCTTCAGCTTGCCAATTGCTAGCATCATCGCAGATCAAACGTCACAGGCACAAAAATGCAGATATGTTTCTCACGATTCGTTACTTGATTGAGGACGATCGGAAGTCGGATCTGGATCGCTTGCTCGAAAAGGGAGCTGATCCCTCGTAACTTGGGATAGAGAGACCAAGATCCAAGCATGACAAAAAGTAATAAGCTGGGACGTTGGAAATGTGTTGCAGTCCCGACCGCATCCAGACTAGTTGTCGTCAGAGAGTATCTTGACAATTTTGGGTTCGAATAATATCCTGGCCCGCTCCCCCACCTGGGCTGGAGTCGGCGGATTAGCCCTAGGTATCGTGGCAAGCGAAGCCAAACCGCCTTGCATGAAGCAGCATTCCTGGGAAGGCCAGTTGGCAGACGTGTCAGACCAGTCGGCTGAAGAAGCTCTGACCTCGGCAGCGTCTCAGGGCGTATTGCATCAAAGAGCTGCTACGTGTGATGCCAGAGCTCTTGGTGGAGAAGGATCGTGCAGGTGAAGCACTTACTGTACGTTGAGACACCCACCAGTCGAGAGAGGTTTGTGTGCAGATTTTGGGAGACATACAAACCTCCAGTACCCGGGTCTCAGATCCGAAGGGCTGTGAGGCGCAACGGAAGATCTGTGAGGCGCATCGGATCGGATGCAAGTTGGGTGTAGGAACTTGATAAATCGATTTTCGATCTTTGCTTGGGCGATGAGGCCAAACAGCCCTACACTGCGCCGCAGCAGAAGGACAAGAATTGAAGAGTTTGAAGACATCAGACACATAAAGCAGTCCACCCGAAAGAAACTCTCTGATACTTGCAGCCCACAGCATGGCTTTGGCGTATTGTTTGCAATTTGCGGAGGCATTCCCCCTTCAAGCATGTTTTGTCCTCAGGACATCAGTCCTCACTTGAGGAACTGCTAGGCATGCGACAGATTCCGAGAGAGGCAGGTCAAAGCGGTAAGGCCCAGGCAGGACATGGTCTAAGTAGGATGGACGTGCCTTGCCAGGTCTCATTGGAGCTTCTCAGTGCAAGGACCTACAAGATTGGCTGGACAGCACTTCACTACGCAGCTCACAACGGACATGTGGCTGGTCTGGAGCAAGAACACCAACTTGTTGGTTCACGTTGGATATTACTATATATACAGATCATTTTGGATATTGTTCTGAATGTGAGAAAGATGAGGACTGCCGGCTGGTCATTGTTTGAGTTGTTTGCTGTGAGGCCGAGTGCTGTCGGGTGCTCATGTCAGCTGCTGGCCAGGCAGCTGAGTTTCTTGGCAGATGTTCGCCACCAGTTTCATAGTTTCCCACCACCAGCTTTCACGGACGAAGCGTGCTTGAGAATGTTTGAGGTCAATCTGTTTTCGACAAAAACTGAGCCTTCATGTTTATTTGCTCCAATTATGTGTAATTTCATTGTAGTACCAGCGATACCTTACAGTAATTTAGATGTTGGAGGCACTGGATCAGAACAAGTCTTGCCCTCAGGTTTATAGGTGCCGTCACTGACACCGGGCGAACTGCACTGCACCTGGCTAGTGTCAATGGACACAGAAGGTGCTTGACCGTCCTGTTGGGCAACCCAGTTGGACAGTCAAGATGTGAAGCAAGCAGATCAAGCAAGTTGTTGGGGAGGCACGAGGTGGGAGGGCAAAAGCGAGGCTCAACTCCATTGCTGTTCAATATTCTACACTCAAAGCTTGATGGAGTGTGTCATGAAAGAGTTGCGTGGGACCAGGACAACCCTATGCTCGTTTCCGGGGCACACCAAGGCTGCGGACGCACATGGCCAAGCAGCTGATGACAAGCCAAAGCTGCTTGCCTCAACTGAGCCAATGTGCATGTGAAACGAAGTTGTTTTGGTAGCTCCGTTGCTCCGCACACCGAAACCTAGCAATAACCCGCTTGCAAGAGCGGTCCTCAGACGAACGTATTTTGCATATGTCTTTGAAGCTGCTAGTAGCAAGGACGCTACTAGGGGCGCTCCTGGCCTTACTACTAGTAACAAGAAGCTACTAATAACAAAGGGCATCGCTACGAACAGAGCAAGGACGCTACTAGGAGGTCTTTGAAAGTACTAGTGGCCAGGGGAACGCACACTAGCGTCCTTGTTACTAGTAGTAAGGCCAGGAGCCCCTAGTACGTCCTTGCCCCTAGTAGCGATGCCCTTTGTTCCTAGTAGCTTCCTGTTACTCACTGTTTTGACACTTGGGTTCCCTTGCATTAGGCCAGCTATGCTAAGTCGGCTAGGTTGCTAGGCAATGCCGCAAGTCACTCATTCCAAGGCCGGGATGGTCACACGGCCATGCACCTGGCAGCCCGTTTTGGACAGCCAAGCTGCGTGAAGGTCTTGGCAAAGAAACTGCCAGAGTTAGTTAAGGTTGGAGTCCCAGTTGTGTCAGCTTGCAGTTACGCAGGATATTTGACTTCTGAAGTCTTCTGGATATGGACTTGGTGATGCGTGTGCTATCATGTTGCCTCAGGTCAATGTATATTGGTATTTATGTAAAGGAATTCAATGGTGCATACATGCGTTGGCGTGCAAGTTTGAGCAATTTCCCTATCTAATTTGTAATGCTTTGCTAGTTCAAGGGGACATGAACTGCAACAGCGAAATTGCACTCAGCCCCAGAAGACCAAACAAAATATAAATTCCTTATATAGTTGGTGCAAAACTGAGAACCTGCTTATATGACTTTCGCCCCGAATTTAAGGAAGAACCACCCGTCGGTTTGAATTCCGCAGCCTCTCGGCTCAGCGGATGGTGCATGAGTGGGAGTCGTGCAACTGCGCGCTCTGCTTAACCGTCCGTAGGGTCGTTGGGCTGCTCTACGCTCCGGACTGCTCAGGTGCGGTCCAGAGGAGGGGCGTGACACTTTTGAGGGAGGTTTACTCGCAACTCTTGGACGTTGCGGATACAGGGGCTGCCACCTCTGTTCCTCCCGTTGAAAGCGGATCTGCTCTCCCGGGTGAGGGAGACAAAACTACCAGCCAGAAGGTAAAGACCGAGCTCAACAACAACCAGGAACAGCCCAAGCCGGAGGAGGGATTTGCTCCCGTCGTGGACACCGCAGAGGAGAGTGGGAGCAGTCCTGTCGTTGAGAAGAAGGCCGAGGAGGTCGTTGAGAGTGCATTGCGAGAGACTGACTTGAAGGACACCGAGATCGAGAAGGAGGACACCGAGACCAAAGACAAATCTCCTGTCACCGGAAAGAAGGAGAAGAGGAGTCGCCGGAAAGAGTCAAAATCCCGAGATCGCCGTCGTCGAGATCGCAGAGACAAGGAAGCTAGGGCCTCAGAGGGGGCAGAACGTCGCTCCCGCAGTCGCCAACGCAGAGCCCGAAGAAGGTCCAGTAGACCAACAAGCCCCCAGCAAGACGGAGGTGGAGACCATTCACCCCCGAAGGAGTCAGGCCGTGAGAGGAAGGAGCCAAAGCCAAGGGCCAAGTCCCAAAGCCGGAGTCCCGTGCTCCGAGCCCCCTGGGCACCAGTGCCATCCCGTGCCTCAGGCCTTACCAACGCCCAGAAACGGGCCGTGCCACCGCCGCCCAAACCACCTCCGGTTCGACCAACCCCAAGAGAACCGGATCATCCACCCCCAGGTTATTCCAGCTGGGAAGCCACCAACGTCAGGGCCAAGTCCAAGGTTACGGTGACCCTCCACCCAACAAGGGAAAGAAGAAAGACGAGCGGAACGCCAATTTCCGCCTGTGGCGTGAATACGAACGTGGTTATTGGTAGCATCCATGCCGCCACGTCGGAGGCCCGCGGTGGACCCTATGCGGATTCGGGGGGGCGTTTTGCGACGCCCGGCAAGGAGGGAGGCACCAGAGTCTCCCGGTCGGAAGGAGCCCGTTTGGGAGATGTTGAACAAGATTGCATTGGACACTCTTCACAAGAGACAAAGGGTGGTCATAGAAGGCTTGTTATGGGAAGCCCCGGTCGTGATCGCAGGCGAAGT